AATACGAAGGTAGGTTTTGCTGCTTTTCAATTTTTGGTTAGGAAGCGCGAAACTTTAAGCTACGGACTCGGTTTTGGCAAATTTTTAATCCATGGAAGTTGCAGTGTCCATATCAGATCGAACATTTTACCCAGGCTCATAGGATTTTGTACAGTTTATCGCAGAAGTTAAAGTGCCACATATTTCTCCCTAAAATCAGTTGTTTACACTGAACGGTTTTTTCTAAGTGTCGATAACTACTGCGCGTGCGTGAAATTAAATTCTGGCCATGAGAGTCTCGGTTTGAAGCTTATCGACCTTGTCTTTTAGAGCTTCGATTTCTTGGTTCTTAGACTCCAATGTAATCCGTAAGTCATCGCTTTGGGCCCGTAAATCCTCCAAATCCTTCTTTAATTTTGACAGAATCTTGTCCCTTTCGTCCATCTCCTTCTTCAGAGACTCGATTTTCCTGGTGTGAGTCTGTAAAATCTCTGGATCGCGGTTCAGCCTTCTTCCGATAACACTCATCAAAGTTGAACCTGTTATTATTTCGGCAGTATCTTCGGGTTGTGGATGAACATCATCCATTTTGTTTAAGCTTTGACTACGTTTACACGAAAAAATTGCTTCCTTGGACGCTGCCACTGAGCGCATAAAATGCTAGGCTTACTGTTTGATCATTGTGACGCGTTCTTGTCTAATAACTTCTTTTACGCGCATGTCCATATAAGTTGTAACCCCTGACACGAACTTTGTGAATTTGCCTATATGCATTGTTGAGCTTCATTGTAACTCCTAACATTTTGAAACTATTTTTCCTTACGTTTTTCAAGTATTTTTATTATATACTTCCATCATGTGGTCGGTAAATTAAATATGGAAAGCTTATTTTAGGGGTATTTAGTAATAAAAGTATTACATTGTCTTGTAGATGTTCCGTTAAATCTTACCTAGTAGTCTGCTTTGTAAAACAGGAAAATTTAGATGGACAGATATTTCTTGTTCTATTCCAGGCGATGCTATCCAAAATTTTAAGAAGACTGGGGATTTTTGAGCAATTATCCTACAACACCGTAAGAACTGAGACAAAGTTGGACATGATAAGGACATCTTCCCGGTAAAACCACCAGTTGGGCATGGGATTGGATACATATTTCTAAGAAAATCCAGTTACATGATGTCATTTTCTTTCTTTTGCGTAGACTCTCTGTTACAAACTTGAAAAAAATAGTGTTCATTTAAACATGCAGTTTAAGATTCGCAACGGTTCCTTATGGACAGTACTCAAATAAATTTTGTACAGCCTTGAGGTATCTTAAGAGCAACGTTAATGGACATATCTAGCTGTTTCTTGTTAGGGATCAATTCTGTTTCTTTGAAGTTGGGTGCTTATTTACTTTTCCTACCAGCAAGGTTAAACGCAGTTAAGAGCTAATGTGGTGCTGATAGCCTATTTTATAGAAGAACAAGTAGTATAGTAATCACAGAAATAGCGAGGATGATAACTTGTTCGAAAGTGAAAGTGACCGCAGTGCATTTTTGTACGTGGTGGAAACTTTCTGTCACGACTGAGGTATGTTGTTAGAGTGACACCCAATTGATCGCTCAACAATACGGCTGTCAGAATAAACTCAGAGTCCATGGCTATTGATTCTCATGGCAACGTGGAGCTACACGTGTGTTCCTACCAATCCTGCCACTGTATCCTCGTGATTACCCTTACCTTAAATGGGAATACCTTTGGACCTTGTCCAAATTATATTCATGAAGTGACAAACAACATTCTAACATTTTAAATGTTCCATTCCAAAAAAATAAGGATTTCCTTACCATCTGAAGGTAATAGTCTTAGTTTATTCCCACATGAACTTCCTGTGCAATATTTGTCATAATTGGTTGATATTGACTACTTGGCAAATATTTATTTCTGCTTTCTTGAAATGTAACCTCGTATTTAAAAGCGATGTTCCACTCGGTTAAATTCTCGGAAAAGAAAATCAGCAATTATCCTTACAGTTTC